TATAACCTGATGGTTACGTTTCATTGCAACCCAATGCTGTATTTTGAATGTCCCTTCCAAAACTCATGTTGAAATGTAGTGTTTCTATAGCTGTATTAAGAGGTGATTATGTCAATAGAGCTTCTCATAAGTGCCTGTTACTATGGGAGGGAGTGGATGCTATAGACCACTTGTGTGCCCAAGCAAACACTTGGTTACCGAGGCTGAGCAGAGAGCCCACTACTAGGTAGTACTCAGTTGAGCTGTAGGAATCAGGAAATCTTCTAGTCCCCAAAACAGTAGAGCTACCAGCATGCACTGCCGGCTGGGGAGAAGCACAGGCATATCACCTCGGTCCAGGAGATGTTGCACAGTAAAGGTTTGGAGGCCTAACCTGAGTGTATTTAGGAGGTAATACATGGAAAAGGATTATTCTGGAGCTTCAAGGTTTAATGTTTTCCCTATTGGCCTTTTTACCCCTTTGGAATAGGACTCTTCTATTCTTATTCTACCATTTATTTTCAAAGTTGATAATTTGTTTTGGTACCACAGAATACTAATGGAGGGAATTTGCCTCAGTAAGAATCATGCTTTGAGTTTCAACCATATCTGACTGAGATAAAACTCTGGACTTTGGACTCTTGTGTTGGTGCTGGAATTTTTAAAAGACTTTTAGGAGCCATTAGTATTAAATGGATGTGTTTTGTATATGAGGAAAACTTGAGTTTTAGGGAGATAGGGGACAAAATGCTATAATTTAAATGTGTCCTCCAAAATTCATGTACAAGAGTTATACTGTTATTGCAGTAGGATTAAGAGGTAGGAGGGCCTTTAAGAAGTGATAGGATCACAAAAAATAAACATATAATTTTAAAAAGCCAGATGTGGTAGCGTACATCTATAATCTCAGCCCTCAGGAGGCTGAAGCAGGAGGATCGCTGTGAGTTCAAGGCCAGCTTGGGCTGTGTTGTGGTGAGTTCAAGGCCAGCCTAAACTGCATAGCAAGCCTCTGTCTCAAAAAGTACAAAAAAGAAAAAAAAAAAACAAAATCAGACAAGCAAAAAAAAAAAAAAAAAAGTTGGTAGGGCCATTAGGGTCCTGCTGTCATGACTAGATTAATGCTATTATTGTGCAAGTGGATTAGTTATTAGTAGCTTCCTGATTAAAAATGGGTGTTTGCCTAGTTTCCTCTTAGTCTTTCCTGTGTTTGCTCACCCTGCTACCATGTTATAACTGAGCAAGAAAACCTTTACCACATACTGGTGCCCTATGCTTGGACCTCCCAGCCACCAGACTGTGAGCCAAATATATCTTTGTTGTTTCTAATTTACCCCCTCTATGGTATTCTGTTACAGCAGCAAATAACGGATTGAGACAAGTAGTGATGCCAACAGTCAAGGAAGAAACAGATGAAATGGGACTTTTAAATAATTGGACAGGAGAGGATAATTGCAAATAAAAATATTTTGGTAATGAAAGTTTGTTTAGTTACGGTGTGCTATAATAGAACTTTCACATGTTTTTATGAAGTAAGACCTTGTTCTCTGTGGTAATTTCTAGAATGAAGAAAAAGGACAATAATGGGTAGAAAAGTAAAAAAAGGAAAAAATTTTCTTTTAATAATGTTAAACCCATAAGTAACCTATTTTTCTTATAAAACTTAACAGTGATTCACAAAACAGACTTGAAACTGTGTTATATATATTAATAAGCTGTTCACTGATCTGGTATGGTATTCTTTCTCAGAACTTACAGTCTGTTTTATTTAACTTTCCTGACTCAGTTTAACCAAGATAACTGGTTTACTGAAAAGTATATTGTAGAACTTTTCGTGTATAATTATTGCTCAGTTTATTTTCCTCACAAGTATTCCCAGTAGAAACTTAAATCTTTTTTAAAAAATCAGACATCACAGTTTTCGTTTTTTTTTTTTTGTTTTTATAAAATAGTTATTCCTCTAGTTATAAAATCCATTAAATGAGAATGTTTATGTACTACATATGTTCGTATGTATCCATTTAAGGGATAATTTTGTGTAAATCATCGTATGTAGAGGACAAATTTATCTGTGTCCTTTTTTGTACAGATTAATATGTTAAATATACTAGGGGACTAGGGATTTAGCTCAGTGGCATAAGCGCCTGCCTTGCAAGCAGGCAGCTGTGAGTTCGATCCCCGGTACCAATAAAAAGGAAAAAGACAAATATATATATATATATATACTTTATAGACTTTTCTAAATGTATGGGTAATATTTTCCTATTAAATACATTCACCTGCTAGGGAAAAAAAAAGATATTTCAGAGACTAAAAAACTTTAAAGTAATAGTGAAGATACTAAGACATTGAGACATTTATGTTTAATTATCAGGAGTGTCAGGCTTTTTATATCTTAACGTTATGGATAAGATTCTAAAGATTCTTGGTGTATGAGGCTCGTTAACTATGCTTTGAGCCCTAGCCACCAGAAACTGTTGTCATGTGCTTGCAAAATTGTTCTACTTTCCAATATCATAATATGTTCAAACGTTACAGTACTGTAAAAACCATGACATTCATATTTAAAATTTATTTTTGATCATTCATGAAACAACCTAAACTTCAGAGTTTCTGGCATTTATACAGCATCAAAAATTCAGACAATATTACTTTCTCCTCTGTTAAAGAGGTTAATATATTTTTGCATTTGAGTAAACATACTCAGTTTCATTTTTAAAGTAGTCTCACAACTTTGAAATGTAACCTTTTTTAAATGTTAAAACATTCTTTTGCATACTTTTCACCCCTTCTCAAACCTCAGTTTGCTTATATCCCTAACATCAACATTCTGTGGAAACTACTTTTAGAGATTGTATTAATGTTTTCTGTTTGCATCTAGTAGTAATTTATTTGCATTTAAAAAAAAATTGAATGCACTATGGCAGTTTTGAGAGCCAACAAGCTCTTAAAAACAAGATTCTACCTATGAATCTGATAAACCAGATTCTTGCTCTTTTCTGCACTATAGAATTGGGATTATGTATGGTTTACCTCATAGATGGAAAAGTAACTGACATCTAGTAGGACTCATCCCTTGAGTTTCCTGAACTCTATTTTCAGTGTGTGAATCACTTGAAATCCACATAAATTTAATCACTGGAGGAACTGGGGAAAAGAATGGTGCTTTAATCATACTCATTGAAGAACAAAGCTTCTATGTATAAGCTAGTCTAGTCTATGATTTCTGTCTAAAATAATGACAATCTTGTGACTGTAGTGACATGCTTAAACAAGTGGTGCAGAGGGAATGGATGGGAATGTTACCCATATTGTGTACCAGGATTTCTTTTCTTGCACCAGGTAAATGTCAGTGGCTAAACAACTGAAGTTTTTTGGTTTTGTTTTTTTGTTTGATTTTTGCTTTATTTGTACTCCAGAAGACTTTCTAGGGTTCCTGTTGTGTGCCAGGCTGTTGTCTAGTGAAAATGTTGGAAGAGCTTTCTATTCCAGATTTTGGTTGTTTAGCTTTGAAATAGCCATTCTTTAATACTTGACTTCCGGTAATTCTTTATTAGACTCTTGTGCTAAGGATACATAGAAAAAGACATTAATTCTTTTAAACAGGCAAATGATAGCTGATACTAGTGGCTTGAATGAGATTTTTAACCTTCTTGTGATATTTAATTTTCTGTATGGCATTTCTATTAGCATTTCACTTGAATACTGTAAGGAACCGTGTTTGCTGATTTTGTAATACTAGCATCTGTTCTTTTGGTATCTATACTTTGAGCAGCTCCTTTCATAGAACCATTAAATACCCAATTCCTGTTCTCTCTTACTTAGAATTTTTTCAGGGAATTTCATGTGGCATAATTAAGGGGGAAAAAGTCATTTGAATGACTCTTACTACATTTGTATCCCTTCCCTTTGGATCCCTAGAAATAAACTCTTACTTTCTCTTCCTGCTATTTGATAGGCAGAACCCCGTACGACTATCATCTCTTTGCCTAAAACAATGGTATAGCTGTAGTCAATGACTTACAAAATATTATGTCCTATCTACTTCAATGTATAAAAATATTTCCTTTATTAAATCAATTTTTTTTTCAAAAGACAAAAGTCAAATGATGGAAAATTCCAAGAACACTAAAAGTTTGGTCAACTTTAATTTTTTAAATCTATTCCTTCTTCTTAGTCATGTTTGAAAAGTAAACTGTTGCTGAGTATGATGGTACATGCCTGTAATCCTAGCACTCAGAAGGCAGAGCCAGGAGGATTGCAATGAATTCAAGGTCAGCCTGGCTATACATTTTGAGTTCAAGGTCAACCTGAACCACCTAGTGAGACCCTGTCTCAAAAAACCAACCAAACAAAAAAACAAAAAATAAAAAAATAAAAACAAACTGTTGGAGAAAATATAAAATGAAAAAGTCTAGAAATAGCAGTGCAGGTCAGATCCAGTTATAAACATACATAAGATAATGGATTTGTATTTATTTTCTAATAAACTCACGTGTTTGTATAACCATACCTGTAATACAAATTGATATAAAAAATGAGTTGAGCTTTTTTGCCCTTGAATTGCTATGAAAATCGATTTTTCATTAAACTTTTTATTATATTATTGATATTCCTTTGCTGAGTTTTCAAAGCATGTGAAACCTCCTTAGTGGTGTAGTAATCCTTGAATGGAAGGTTGTAATTTTCCTAAAAACAAGGACAGTTTAACTGGACATTAAAATTATATATGATTAAAAGCATGACAATTAGCCTTATTGGAATAAGGGAAATTGAGGAGTTTCCAGTTTATTACTTAGATTTTCTTAGTTCTGGTTTTGTATTTGAAAACAGCAGTGTAGGACAGTTGTATGCAGATAACATTATTGCTACTAAAGAATCGGCTACAAGTTTATGCATTGCTCAAGGAGTAGGAAAATTAATGAAAACTTATTTCTAAATTGATATAAATGGTCTGACCTCTCTAAAATATATATGTTTTAAAATGCATAAGAAATGTTAAGTTTTTCTGTTCCCTTTTTTAGCCTTAGATTGTAAGCAAAAGAAATCAAGGTCAAGATCTGGAAGCAAGAAGAAAATGTTAACATTACCTCACGGTGCTGACGAGGTTTACATTCTCCGATGCAGGTATATGCCTATTTTGCCCAATTGGTCAGTTTCTTCAGACTTTGTTTTGAGACATTAGCCAATTTATTGAAGATTTTTAATGTGTGACATAGTGCATTCTCAATATCATTACAAATGAACTTTTGGAGACAGGCTTAAAATCTTACTTAACTCAAAATATAGTGTAGTTACTTCAACACCTAGAGTTTTATCTGTTAGGTAAGAGACTATTATTCTATGATTTATAAAAGGGCATTTTAGTTTTAATTAGGTCTTAATTTTAATCAGGTGGTTTGGTTTAATTTTTACTGTAATTCCTGTTTATCAGGGAGTGTACTTCCTCTCATGCACACATCTCTATGTATAGGAATATGCATAAATACCTCATTGTAAAGAATTCTCATTTGGAGAGGAGTCTTTAGTATGACAATTTTTGGAGTAGGAGTTATAAATGAATAAGTTATGGTGATATTAAGACTATTTAGTTATTTTTAACTACTAAGGTTCCCACCTTTGCAAATATTACTACAGTTTGTTATATCTATTAAATAATATGAGAATTGAGAGTCTTGATATGGTATTAAATCATTTAAATTGTATTTAGAATCTGCCAGACCAGTGCTATTTGTAATACTGTATACAATAGTGTTTATTGCTTATATTTATGGTTTTTATGTGAATTGGTTTTAAATAAAGGGAATTTGGTTGTGGTAAGAAACTGTAATCAACCTTCTTCTATAGGTTTTGTGGCCTAGTCTTTCGAGGACCATTGTCTGTTCAGGAAGACTGGATTAAGCACTTACAACGACACATTGTAAACGCTAATCTTCCACGGACTGGAGCTGGCATGGTGGAAGTCACATCACTACTTAAAAAGCCTGCCTCCATTACAGAAACTTCATTTTCTCTACTAATGGCAGAAGCAGCTTCATAGAACCAGGAACCCTTTTAAATAGCAAATTTGAATCGGATGTAAATTTGAAATTCTCTTTTTTTTGTAAGCCACATTAAATTATCCGTTTATAAATACTAAAGCAGGAAAATGGGGAAAAGTGAATTACACTGACATCAGAGCAAATTGAATACTTAAAACAGTAAGTAGTCTATATATTTTATATAGGATGGAAGATGTGTTTTTAAGGTTTACTAAGTTTTGTTGCTTAACTTCACTTATTAGAAGATCTTATCTGTAAACAGCCATTTATAAACTGTTGCACATGGATATGTATACAGACTTAATGGAAAAATATGTTTTCTGCAGTGTTACCAGAATCAAGGCTCTGTTTTTTCCCCATAAGACTTGCATAGAAAAATAAAATATTATATATTTTGTTTGTATGTATTTAGTGTTTTGTATAATATCAGGAATTGCTAACTAAATTACTCAACTTAGGGCATTAAATATCATGTACTTCATAGTTTGAGACTGTTCACTCAAATAGGGGCAGAGTAATATTCTATCTAGATGTGTAAGTGTTTTTTTAAAATATCACATGGAACGGTTTTTTTTATACTAAAAAGTGGAGGGAGATTTGTTTAAACAAGTATTTCTAAAAGAAATATGTATATAGTCCTGGAAATTATTTGTGGTAAGGAAATATTCTTTACTCCAATTGCATTTCTCAGACAATAAAGTGGTGCATCCATGCTACCTCCTACTTTGTCAACAAAGATGCTATTTACCCTTTACATTTTTGTATCATAATAGATTAAAAAAATCTAATGTTCTTTATTGCAAGACATCCTTTTGTTAAAAGATTTGTTTCTTTTTAATGTTTTACCTAAAATTTGACATGCTTACAGGACAAGTTTGCCTCTTTATTTAACATTGTAGAAATGTAATTAATAAAAGATACTACACAATTTAGAATAGGCTTTCTCATTTATATTATCTTCCAAATCTGATCAGTTAGCAAAAGTTAATACACCAATTAAAATATTTCTACATATGATGAGAATGTTTACAATATAAATTTTAGAACTTGTTTTGGATGTGATTATATGTACGAAAATTGTGTAACACTATGCTCATGCTAAGAACCGACATAACGGAATTACTGAAATAAATGTGCTGTGAGGAATGGAAAATATGGTGCAGGTGTCTTGGTCATAATAAATTGTGATTATTCTTTTAAGTTCTTTTCAAAAATAAGTCAATTCTTTTAATATAAATTGAGATTCATTTATAAATAACAGTTTTTGTATGCAAGCACCATTTCATTTAATTTCATGTAGTTTGGCTAATACTGTAGTTGAACCAAGGATATGCATTGATACTTTTCCTTATGTAAATAAAGTTAAAAACAGTTAAAATAAGGAATATTTTGGTAGATTATATACATACCTCACTGCCAGTGAAAATTGTTTTCCTATGGTATATCTCCTTACCATAAAAATCTCTAAATAAAAAAAAAGACTTAAAGAAAATTATAATGTCTATAATGTGAAGCATTTCTTATTTTTATCATTAGTAGAAATAGTCTGTTTGAGGTTGTGTTTCATTGATTTAAATTGTTTATATTTACCAGCAAACTATTTATCAGACATAAGACTTTCTGGAAATACCTCATTGATCAACATACAATGCATATGAAACAATTTTTTTCACATTAATCATTAATTAACTTTTAAGGGACCATTTTCTATGTGAATTTAGAAGATTAAGTGGCTCATCTCCACATGGGGTCTCTTGAGTCCCTGCTATTAAGATCAGAAGAAAATACTTGTTACTTTTTTTCAGTTTTTCAAAAGGCCTGATCAGATTTTTTTTTTTACCCTAAATTGCCGTGGTTGGCGTCCCAACTCAACATCCTCCTGGCTCAGCCTCCAAGTACCTAGGACTGCAGTTGTACACCATGTTGCCTAGCTCATTTTTTTAAATCGAAAGATGTAGTTACATAGCCAGTGTAGTTTAGTCATAAAAAAATCATAACAATTCCTGGTCAGAAGGCTAGTAATATATAAATACAAGAAAAGTCAGTTTGACCACAAATTTCAGGATTGAACCTAGGTTAAATTGTTCATATGTTCACCTGTATTTAGAGCAATTATTTGTGAGTGTGTGTGTGTGTGGTACTAGGGATTGAACTCACAACCTCGCAATTGCCAGGCAGACACTTACGCCCCTGAGCTAAATTCCCAGCCCTTATGTCTCTTCTTAAATGTAAATCAGTCATCAAAGTAGAACATTTAAAATTAGAATTAACAAACTATAGGATTTGTGAAAAGTAAATTTCATAATAATTCTTTAGGAATTCTTTATTTGGCAACTAGAAAGTTAGTATTACATTTTCTGTTAGCTGCCACTAGAAGAAAAATAAAGGTCAGTATTACTAATGAATACACATAAAAATTCCTCAATGAAATAGAAGCAAATCAAAGTTTACAGTGTCATCTATAAACCTGGGAAGTGCAGACAGACGGATTCCAAGTTTGAGCCTATTACTTCCGTAGTAGAGTGCTTGACTAGCATGTGTGAGGCCCTGTGTTTAATTCCTATTTACCCCATACACACTTACCACACATGCACACAAGTGAAAAGTGAGAGCTGTCACCTGTGGTATCATTACTTAAAAACAGCTACTTTTAAAAGCTTTGTACATTTCTTTCTCTTTTTGTTTCAATATTAAGAGGTAGTGTTCTCTATAATATATTAAAATAATTTATTAAAATCCTATTATCCCAGGTCAGTTTTAAATTTGAATGTAGTCTTGTGTAGACCAACTTTTTAATACTACGTAATTTATTTTGACACTTGAATGTGACAAAACCCAGTGGACCTCAATAAATTGTATGATTACTAAAAGATAGAGTCTAAAGCGATAATTCTTTCTTAACTTTTTAAGACCAAACTTTGTATTTTTCGATTGAAGAATTAGGCAAATTGCAGGCAAAATTTAAATAAAGAACTTTCAGATAGTATTCTATGTAAAATGTTTTACAAATTGCATTTATTAATTCAGTATATTCAAAACTGAGGTTCTGATTTAAAACTTCAAATATCTTCTACAGATATAATAAACTCTTAAGTATGTAGCACCATGAATTTTCTTGAATATTTCAGTGTCATGTGACTTAATAAAATATCTACCTTAAAATTACAACTCAGAAAGCAGAAATGTTAAATCTACTAGTCTAGATAGTCTTAATATTAGAAATACTGAAAAGGTTTTTTTGAATAATAGTTTTTTAAAAAATGTTACTGGTACTTTTTTTTTTTTTTTTTTTTGGTACCGGCGGTTTAACTTGCCACCTTGCGCTTGCCTGGCAGGTGCTTATGCTGCTGAGCTAAATCCCTGGCGGTATATTTACACATAATAACATTCACCATATGGAATTTATGCCTATACATGATATTTCTTGATTTTTTTCCCCTTCCCCCTTTTAATTCCTCTTCCCTTACTTACAAAAGCTTTGTTTCTGTTTTCCTTTTTTCCTTTCTCATTCCTTCATTTCCTTCTTCCCTCCCTAGTTCTTCCCATTTGCATATGTTCTTCCTATTTCAAAACTTTGAAGTATGTACAACTGCCTATTGCTAAATTTGTTTTGCTTAAGTGAAATGAAGTACATAGTATGTTGTTTAAAGAAATACACTGATCACTATAAGATGTGATATGTTATGAGCATCCTCAAAATAAGTTCTCTCCATCTTCCTATTTCTTGTCCCCTACCCCTTTGGCATTGGCTGGGGATGGAACCTATATATAGCCTTGCATGTGTTAGGCAAATAGTATGCCAAAGGGGGCTGGGGATTTAGCTCAGCGGCATAAGCACCTGCCTTGCAAGCAGGCAGTCATGAGTTCGATCCCTGGTACCAATAAAAACGAAAAAGACAAAAAAAAAAAAAAAAAAAAAAAGTATGCCAAAGAGCTACACCCAGAGCCTTCTGCCTTTTCTAATAATCATTTATTTGCTTTTTTCTTTTCTTAACAGTTTGACCTCCTGTGCATGGGCATAGTTTACCTTCACCTATTTTTGTATTATGTAGAAATGGAATTATGCCATACAAGATTTGCAGCTAGCTTTTCCTTAGTGTTATCACTGAAGTTCATCTCTATTGTCTGTCATTTTCATTGTTGCATGTTATTGCATTGTATAGATATGCCGCCACTTTATTATCCATTTTTATTGTTGATAAATATTTCAGCTTTCAGCTAGGGCTTTCAGAACTCGTCACCTGATAAACCTTATAATTTTCTGTAGGTTACATGATAAGGAGTAGGATTTTTCTGATCATAGTGTATATGCTTCTGAGATGGGTAAACTGTTTTCCAAAATAATTTTACATGTTTACACTGCCACAAGAAAGTGAAGAGTTCTTGTTCCTCTATGTCCCCATTAATATAGTCAGATTTTTAAATGTTTGTTAGTTGATGGGCATACATGGCATTTCACTGTGAATTTAATTTACATTTCCCTGATTATTATAAAGTTTCATCTTTATGTTTATTGGCATGGATTTCCTCTTGAAGAATGACTTTACAAAATTGCCCATTTACCCTTACTGGGTTGTCTTAAGTTAATTTTCCTATTTACTTTTAGAAGTACCACTAACCTTTAGGTTTTATATGTTGCCAGTATTTTCTACGTTGTTATTCCGTTTTTATTTGCTTTTTAGTCATTTTTGGTGAATAGTCCTTAATTTTAGTATAATTCATCCTTTTAAATTTCTTAAAGTTGTTTTGTAGCATATGTTCTGGGCTTTTGTTTGTTTGTAAGGCCTTTATTCATTTATTCCTTTAAAAATATTTTCACTGGGTGTACACTTCTTGACTGCCGACTATTCTGTCCTCCCACATGCATACATTCAAACTATTAGTTAACTATTTTCTGCCTTGTTCTCAGAATTTCAACTGTTGCTCATTTTAAGATAAGCTGTCTAAATTTCCTGGGTCTTCATAAGGTATTTATTTCTAAGTCTAGTTTATGATGCGACAGCTATATGGGAATTTTTATTGTCAAGTTTGGTTCTCTTTTGGATTCTGGAATTTTCTAACCGTTATCTCTCAACTAATTTTTCTGCCCCATTTTTCTCTCATCCTTTTGGGATTGAAAAGCATAGACATTAAATATGTTCTGTACTTCTTACCTTTCTTGTTTGTATCTCTGTGCTATACTTTGGTGTCTTAATGTCCCTTTTACTTTTTGAAAATTTCCTCAACAGTTGTTAAACCCCATCACTGTGATCTTTATTTTATAATATCTAGGTGTAGGTTTTCTGATACTACATTTTTTAGATACTACGTTTTATTGTTTGTAGTTCCCTGAATAGCCTTGACCTCTTCCCTGCTCCCCCTTTCCCTCCCTTTCTCATGGCCATGGAAAACTGATAATTTTGGAATCTAAAATATCTGTGGATCAGATTCTGTTGTTATTTACCTTTTCTGTTTCTTATACATGGTATCTTATGTGCCTAAGTGTTTAACAGTATACTGAACTTTATATTTGAAAACTAGTTTTAGTATTTTGAGGCCTGTGATAGTATCTTGCCCAATAGAGTTTGCGTTTACTTCTGCCTGATGTCTAAGAATGTTCATAATTTAGAACTCTTCTTTCAGTTTACCTAACCTAATCAGCTAACCCAACGTTAGACTTTAAGAACTAGATTGTGGGAAAGCTGGTTTATGTTTGGTTCACATTTACCAATGAGTATAGTTTTATTCTACTAGCCGCATGAGACCATCAAAAATGTAACTTTGTTTCAGAGCTATTTAGATTTTCAAACCAGTAATTCTTAACAATCTTGTTAGTTTTTTAGTAACAATAGGAAGTTTTGTTTTTATTAATCTAACACTTTAAGAAATCCTCATATAAGTTGTCTGATGATGAGGTTTTTGTGTTTTGTTGACATATTTTGACTCTTTGTACATGTTTATTAACAGGTTTTCGTTGTTTGCTTGTTTGTTTTTCAAACAGTAGTTTTAGGCTGCTCTTGATCTCATGGTGATCCTCCTTCCTCATACTGGGATTACGGGTGTGTGCCAGCATACTTGGCAATTTATGCACGTTTTTCTCTTCTGTATGTATTTTAGAATCAGTTTGCCAAACTCCTTTGGAATATCCTGAGCTTTTGTTCACAACTACACTGTAATTTATGGAAAATGGGAAATACAGACCTTTTTCTGTAGGAATATGA